GACAGTCTTCCAGAAAGAGGGAACAACATGTGACGAGCTGACGGGGAGAGCCGTCAGGTTTCATTCCGAGAACAAAAGGTTCTGCCAGATTGGATCTTAGAATGTGGAGAGAGAGAGGGGCAAGGGATGTGGGCCGGCACGTGGGTTGAATCAGGGAGAACCTTCTGAGTCTGGATCTTGTTCTAAGGACGATGGAGAGATGCGGAAATGTTTGAGTAGATGGGTGACAAGATGGCATCGTTGGACACGTTCCTAGAGTTCTCAGTGTGGAGAATATTGGAAGTTGGTCAGGTTGGAGGCAAGAGGGTCAATTAGGGAGCAGTTCTGAACGGAGGGGCAGAGCGGGAGGGTGAGTCCAGGTGAATGGATGTGGATAGAAGGGACTGGAATCAACAGATCCTTGCAGGTGGAACACTCAGCAATAGGGATGGAGTAGATGAGGGAGTAACTGCCATTAGATGATGGAATCAAGGGGGAGATGGATCTGGTTTGGTTGGTGTCTGGGGCTGAGTTTCTTGGAAACAGACTCTGGATAATCTCTGGAGATCCACTTGTGAGGGAGTGAGGAAGGCTGGATTAGGCAGAAGGAGCTGATCCATAAAGCTCTGGACACTGAGGCCTGAGCCATTTTACAGGGCGTTCTGGGGCTAGGATGGCCCTTTAGAAATGGCCCAAATTAAGGCAAGCCTTTGTTATCACTACATCAGCCAGAGGGCTGCTCGGGGGGAGGAGTGTATCTTGGTGAGACAGTTCGCAGGACCTGGCACAAGGTGGTAGCCAAGGCCTGGGACCCCACTGGGAGTGGCCAGATGTCAGCGATCTCAGCAGCTAGGGGATGGAGGTTTATACTCGGAAGAGGGGATGGAGGTTTATACTCGGAAGAGGGGATGGAGGTTTATACTCGGAAGAGGGGATGGAGGTTTATACTCGGAAGAGGGGATGGAGGTTTATACTCGGAAGAGGGGATGGAGGTTTATACTCGGAAGAGGGGATGGAGGTTTATACTCGGAAGATGGTTTTAGGCAAAGCACTACAGTATCCACTACAGTGGCAAAAGATCTTATGTGTAGCTTGGGACATGCTTATTTCTAGGTACTTGTGGGTTTATTATCCATCCTTAGTTCACAAGTAACTAGTTAATTTCAAGTATGGGATGTACAAGGCATTGGGCTAGCTGGTGGGGGTGCTGGAAGATGCAAAGATGAGGATTTGTATAGGGACCAATGGGATCCCTTCTCGGGTGGAAATGACCCCCACGTTAGCTTCTCCTCCCAAAAGGATTAAGTCTGATTGCCTTTCCTTGCCTCAGATGCTTTCTAGTTCTCCTCCTTCTCCCCCCTCCTCTTGGACTTCGTAGAAAACAAGCCCAAACACCAGTTCCTTTCAGAAGCCCAGACATAGTGTAAAAGTTGCAAAGGGTTAGGAAACCTTATGGGGTTCTCAACAGGTCTTGTCCATTGGCCCATAGTTTCTGAAGATGACTCTTGGCTGGTATCTCAAACCCACAATCTCTTGCGCTTTTTTGATTGTCTAGAGTTCATACAACAACCCTTTCCTCGACCTTATTATCCCTCTCTTTCCTTGGGCAAGGCTGATTTTTTTAGGCCTAAAGAGACAGCAGGAGATAAAGATTCGTGAATCCATCCAGGGGCCAGGAATTATGAGGTCATGGGCCTCTAAAATAATGCCCAACTTTGCATCATTAAATTCATTAAGTGACGAGTCCATTAAACTGAGGTGGCACCAATGCCCTGGCCACTTAGGTAAATAAATCAAAATCTAAGCCCAGAAATACTTCAAGGTTACGAAACCAAAACCGATAAGGATGACCAATCACAAACAGCCAACTATACGTTAAGCCAGAGCCAATCAAGTAATTTCCTCGCTGCACAGCCTCACCTCCTCTCTCCCCAGCATTGTGGATGGAGCCCTAGCACTTCTGGTTTGGCACTGCCCTCTTGGAATAGATTTTTGTTAAGATCAACTTAAAATTTTTCTAATGCATCTCACTTTATTTTTTCATACGAGACAGTCCCACCCCTTTCAGGTCTCCTAGTGAAGGCTTTGCAGGTATTTCCAAACGAGGTTCGGGAAAGGGGATCTGTTTATGGAATCACTAACAGATAATAAGAGGAATCCTCTCTTAGACCTCCGTTCAGTCTATTTCTGGCAGGTTGATAATAATTTAAATCTGGTTATGATTTCTTTCAAGGGTATGTTTTTGGAAATTAAAAAAAAAATTCTGGTTCTATCTGTTTTGTTCAACCCTTGAGGTGGATCAGCTACAGATCTTAGAATTATAATGCTCGTGTTAAATAGTGTAATAATTCCTTTGAAAACAAGCCAACAGACTTAACACATGAAGCTCTATAAACACCGAGGCCTAGCTTAGATTTGAGCTAAAAAATGTGTAGCTCTGGTCAGGGGACTGCCAGTTTAAGGTGTGGCTTGTCAGGCCTTCTGATGGTGAGATAAAGAAAAGGCTTTTCTTTTTGTTTTCCTTCTTCTCTCCCACAGGGAACACACCTTTTGTGTGCTCTGCCCAACAAAGGGTATAGAATTCATAGACTTCAGAGGGAAAGTATGATGTATGTAGATTGACTATCTATACGTGCCTGCAATGCCTCTTCAAACCACAAAAGGCTTTAAAAAAAGAAAAAGCTGCGATTTTGCAATTCACTGATTGGAGGAGAAACGCAGACATTAAGAGTTAGCAATAAAAACAGCACCAACAAAATCCCAAAGGATTTGGAATTCCTTTCGTTTCTATTTGGCAGAAGAATAGTATGATTTCTTTGTTTTGCCCTTTCTTATCTACAGCAGTCAAATAATAGATTATTTCATTCTTTACTACTATTGTTGCCCAAAGCAGAGTGGTGTCCAAGATAGCACAATAATAGGATGAACCTTTGTATTGGTTTTTTGGACGAGAGGTAGTGTTTTTATTTTATTTTTTAAAACTTACCCTAAAATTTGTTTTTTCTGTTGTGAAATTCAGTGATTTCATAGAATTAAGATGAATAGGTGCTTTGCTTTTCACTAATGGTCTACCTGGAGAAGGGATTTCTCTGAAATTCTCTTTGTAAAAATAGAACAAAGATAATTTACAAGAAATTATCTTTTCCTTTTGGTTGGTTTAGGATTTTTTAAAAGATGCAGTGTTAACTGTTGCCGCTAGCGCAAATGATGAATTGTGCTTTCAAACAAATTTCCTCCAGCCGAGGCTTGACCAAATGCTGGGCTTTGTAATAAAGCTCTGTTCAAAAAGTATTTGACATGAAGCCATGTGAGGCTGTTGTGCAAAAGAAGGCTCTTTACCATCCATAAGCAATCCAGATTTGAGTTTGGGGAGTACAGTTCTTGAAACCATTCAAACACTTTATACCGTGCTTTCAACTCTTAGACAGAGGGAATTGGGGGAGGGGCAAGAAAGTATTTTAAGTACAAAGATTCTAAATTTAAGATTTAGAATTGTAGGATTTACTACAGCAGGTAGGGACGTTATGAAATTCCATACATTGTAATTTGTGCAGTGTATAAAGATTTCATAAGCAAGGCCTTGTATCCATTTCAATGCATGTCATGTTTTCACATGCATATTAATAAAGGCCCACCTTTGAGAGAAGAAAAAAAAGGCCTCCATTCAAATGAAATCAAGCCCAAGTAAAGTTGAAACTCAACCCACAGGGTACTGGCACTGTTTTCAGGCTAAAAGAAGATGAGTTTCAATTTCATCGTCTTGTAACATTGATAAATGTGATCCAGTGGTTTGCAGAATTTGCAGATTACATAGGTCTTTCTAAACATGTGTAAATATGTATCCCAATCTATGTGCAACTCCAAACAACATGCAGTTGGCAGTTAAAGACCAACAACTCGTCTGTGAGACAATCATTTGGTTCATTTACATGAAAAGTCTTAAATAGCAAAAATGCTTCTTCCAGTTTACGTCAGACAATGCCTGCATAACAGAGAACAATGGCTTCCTCGATGGAAGTTAATGCAGAGGAGAGACACACCGAGGTTTAGGAAACAAAGAAAACTTGTAGCACACTTTGCAAATATTAACCGATATTTAAAATAAAGCACAGAAAAGCTTCCTGTGCTGCGAGTCTGCACGGCTCCTGGAGAACTACTAGTATCTTCAGAATGCGATTAAACAGGAGTGAGTCTTTTTAAGAGGTTATGGTGCCATTGTTTTCAGATCCTTCCATTTTGTCCTATTTCCAGGGTAAGCACAGTGCACTTGATTTGGTGCTTCCTCGCCTTAAAAAAAAAAAAAAAAAAAAAACGACCAAAAAACCTTTCAACTCAGTGCGTGTCTGTGAACCATGTAAGAACCAGAACCCAGGGCTGGATAAACAGCATACCTGATCTGGTGGTAATATATTGTCTCCATCTCGGACGTGTTAAGGATTATACACCTCTGTGGTTTTTACGTGGGGTTTATGTATGTATCTTTTTGCGTTCTGGAGGCTGTGACCACCTGCTGTAGGTACACTATGTGCTTGTTACATTTGTACAGATCTCCCTTCTTGAATTTAAAGACCCAGCTATTACATCTTGTTTACTCAATATCATTCCCCCATTAAAAAAAAAAAAAAAAAAGACTACATGAACCGAACATGCCATGTTTCAATCTGGCCCCAGTGGCTTTTTCTCTGAAAAGCAAAACGTGTGTCTTTTACACCAGGGCTTTCTCCCCACCCCAGGGGGTGTCTTCCATCCTTTTGTGGCTCAGTTTAAGGCGAAAAGGGCTCCAAACCACTAACTACCTAGGAGAGAGCCCCCTTCTTCCACCTCCAGGGAGAATTTCAGATGTAATGCATCTGAAGATAGCGTGCTCTCTTCTGACTTCTTTGCCACCATTGCGAGGATCACAAAACACCAGCGCCTTGGCTTCAAGATCTTTTTGCAACCATCTTTGGCGAGGCCTTGCTTCCTTCCACTCGAGTAAGTTGCGGCTTGGGGCCGTGGAGAGGACCGGGCGAGAGGCTGCGATGTCGTTGGAGGCAGCCGCGGCCCTGCCTGCAGCCCCGCACCTCCAGCACCACGACCACCGGCCCTGCCCTCGGCCCCGGGCGAAGGAGCGGCGGCCGCAGACGGGCGGGTCGGCGGGGCTCGGCTGCCCTGCGCCGAGCCGGCACCGGCCGGGCGCCCGCGGGCTGCGGGGCTTCGCGTGTCGCCTCCTTCTCCCCGAGCCTCCCTGCCCCCCCCCACCGGCCGCCCCCTCCCCCTCGCCCGCGCTCCCTTTTGTTCGCTCTCCGCTCGGGCCGAGCCTCCGCCGCCGCCCCGCCGCCCGGGGCCCGCACCCCCGTCGTAGGCCCCGGCGTGGCCGCCCCACCGCCCCGCCGCCGCCGCCGCCGCCGCCGCCGCGCGGCCTAGAGCGCGGCGCCCGGGGAGGCGCGCGGGGCCCGGGCCGGGCGCACGGCGAGGCCGCGGCGGCGGCGGCGGCGGCGGCGGCGGCGGGGCGGCGGCACCGGCAGCATCGGCGGCGGCACCGGCGGGCGAGGCCGCCCCGCCGCTCACGCACAGCCCGGCCGCGGCGGCGGGGATGCGACGACACGCCCGTGGTATGGAAGCAGCAGCAGCAGCAACAGCCGGCGGCGGCGCCGCGCGGAACAAAGGTCATCCGAGCTGCGGCCCAGACGCCCGGGCTTGACCGCTGCGAGGGCCGACCCCGGGCCGGGGGTGGGTGTGCGCCCCGGGGCGCGGGGCGCGCAGGGCCGCGGAGGAAGCGGGGCGCGCGCGGGCGGGCGGGCGGCTTCCCCCAGGGGGCGAGGCTGGGGCGCCGGCCCCTCGTGCCCGGGGCCTTGGCGATCGCCGGCCGGCGCGTGTGGCTCTGGTCCCTGGGCCTGATCGCCGCGGCCTGTCCCACGGCCGGCCTCGGGGACAGCCGGCCTTCGCGCCCTGCCGGCCTCCTTGGGGGGGTGGGGGGTAGGGGGGCACCCGAGGCCCCGCGGGTTTGGCTAGGCCCCGCCGGTTCCGAGAGGGGGGCCACGTGAGCGCCGCCTCCTCCCCGCTCCAGCGCCCGTGGTGCGCAGCGCATTTTTAAAAAGGCCTCTGTGCCCCTTCGGTCCCGGGTCTGCCCCCCGCACCCCCCACCCAGACATCCCTAGGCTTTTTGTTGTTGTTTTTTTTTTTGGCCCGAGGTGAAGGGGTTTGGGCTCCCCCCCACCCCAGGTGCTTGAAAGGAGAGAAGGTCGGAGGAGGAGGAGGAGGAGACTGGGGGGGCCCCGCTGGTGGTGCTGGTGGTGACAGGGAGGGCGAGGAGAGAGGGCCGGGAGGAGGGGGCTGGGGGGACAGGCGGAGAGGAGCCTGGTCAACCAGCCAGCAGCACCCTGCCAGGGGGCCCAGGCCGGCTCCCGCCGCCAGCGCGGGCAGGGGGAGCAGGCACACACGTAGGTGGCTCTTTCTTGGGGGGCTCGTGGTCAGCCACCAAGCCAGAGCGCACACACTTGACACCACACGTACACAAAGGTCTGAGCCAGGTTGTGGGAGGTAAGTGCGGGAAGGAGCCAGGCGCGGGCCGCAGGGCTCCGCCGTGGGCTCGGGGCGGAGGCGAGGGGTGGGTCCGAGGGGCTCTGGGGTGCTGGAGAGGTGCGCCTCTCCAAGGCTGTGCGCTCGTGTGGGGTGATGGGGACGGCGGGGGGACACACGAGGACCCTCCCCTCCTCCCCAGGACCCGAAGGGGGGCAGCCAGCCCCAGCGAGATGCCCCCCTGTGCTGCTGATTTTCAGGGACTTGTTGGCAACTCAGCGAGGGTTGCCATAGCTTTTTTATGTAGGGTGACCAGAACCGGCTGAAACTGGTTTGAGGCAGATCAGCTCCTGAACACAATGCAGTCCCCGAGCTACTACCGTGGGATAGCAGCTTCCTCCCTTCATGGCAGCCAAAAGCCGAGGCGCTGGCAGGAAGGGACCGTCCCAACACACTATGTGAACGCACACTTAGACAGCACACAGCACGGGTACGTGACTAACGGAGCCCTAGAAGATTCTCTGTAGAGAAGATGGGGGAAAATGTGCAGGTTTGCAAGCTTGAGATGACTTGGGCTTTTCCTGCCTTTTTCTTTTGCTTAAGGGATGGACAAGGAGCTGAGATTTATGGCCCTTCCTAAAGACAAAAAATGTGCCTTGGTAGGGTGGGGACACTGGGTTTCTGCAGTTTTGTCTCTCTCTCTCTTGCTCTGCGTTTTTAACAAAACCAAACCCAAATGAACTGATGGGTTTGTAATGGTAGTTTGTTTGTTGCTGGAGAATGCTACTTTGCATGCTTTTCTTCTCTTGCAGGGTATGTTCCGTTTTGTGCTTTTTGTTTTAGAAGCTACTAAAGGGTGTTGGGGATACGTCTGGCTGTTATGAAGGCCAAAAGGTAACACTATTGTTCTAGGAAATGAGCATAAATGCATTCCAGTGATGCTGCAAGGCATACATGCTGTCTTTTTTTTCCTTGTAGGCCTGTTGACTGGGGCTGCCTTTAACCCTTTCATATTTGCAGAGAATGCAACCGTGTGACCGTAACTGAACACTGGTCCAAAGTCTTTCCAAAAGGTCAAGGTTCACAAGGTGAGATACGATATTCTGAGCATGAATTTAAGTATTTATTTGAAGCTCCGTTCAGACACAGACTGACGGTGGTCTGGGGCCCTGGAGATAATACTGGGCGGAGAGTGGAGAAGAAATACTCATAACTGTTAGTCAAGTTTAATGGGATTAGAGGGACTTTTATGAGGGTGTTGCTATCAGGGCGAAATCAGAATGACTTCATGAAATCGCTTGTGGCTGGTCATTTAGAAGAGGCAGGCCTGAAAAGAAGCGAGTTGGAGAGAATGGTAGGCATCAGGGCCTTGTGGAGAATGCACTGTTTTACATAAGACTGAAGCAGTACACGTGTAACTTTTTCTCCCCGATGATCACAGAAAAAGGGAAGGAGTTTGCCAAAAATCCAGGCGTCCTGGTCACCTTTTAGGGATTTGAGGAGTCTGAAGGTAGATTTGCTTTTTGTTCATTCATCACCTTTCTCTCTACCTCGCTCTGTGTGTGAACCTGAAAGGCTTTTCACTCCGAGTGGAGTGGTGCAATGGCTTTTATTGATCTGGGGGGCTGTGAATGGAGAGTTTGCCATTGGATTATTTGTGGCATACATTTTGATGTGGAATACTTAACGTGGTGCCAGGAGGAGACTGGGTAGTCTGGCTTCCTCTGTGCAAGGATGCTTGTTAACTCAAAGCTTTACCGCAGTGGATGGCAGACAATGTCCAGTGCCTTACAAGATGACACTTTGATTTCAGCTGGTATTTTTATGCATCCTCCAAAACCAAGAGGCTTTTGAGGAGGAGAGTGAAGCAGGCAGTAATGCGTGGTGGCAAAGTAAGGAACAAAGGCGGTGAGAGCTTATAGGGGAACATGAAGCATTTCGCCTTGGGGTTCCTTGTGAAAAGGACTGCAACTGCCCCAGACAGGAAGCCAGCAGTACCAGAATCCAATCCAAGATGATCTCAGCCACGGATAGAGGAGTTCTGGCTTCTGGTTTGGTCAAAGTACAGTCAAGGGGAGCCCATGGAAGGCACAGTGGAAGACAACTGTCTCCCCTACTTTGTAGAGGGTATTTTGTTCCTTTTTGCGTTCAGCAGAGTAATCTTTTCAGAAATGCCGAGGATCTTGGAGGTCTTGTGCTGGTGGTTGGTGGGCAGTCTCTGCAGTGAAGGGTGTCAAGTATGCGAGGGTTTTATTGTTGAGTTTTTTTTTCTCATGATTTCAGAGCATCCAGCGTGTGATGAGACGAGAAACAACAGGACATGGCTAGCTCAGAGTGCTAGCTGTGGTATTTAATAGAGATAAATGTAATCTCGGACTGATAGACCAGTAAATAGCTTATGCGATGGAATAAAATTCTTTACAAATCGCTGTCTGAAAATTGGTTTTCAGTTCTACATTTTTGCCTGCCAGAGGTTCTGTGTCTGAATGTGGCCGAAATCTGCTTGCAAAGCAGATCCCAGTCCACGTTGCATGATACGCTGTTCCTGCTTTTCGGGTGCCAGTTAAAACTCAGATGGCTAATATGATAGACCTTAATTAGCTTAATACAATAAGCTGTTTTTTTAATAATTGAGTCCTTCACTCTTGTCTTTAGAAAGTCAGTGATTTTTATTTAACTCTGACAACTGACCCCCTGCTGCAACGGATCCTTGAAAAGGATGTTTTAAAAAGCCCTTTTCGTAAGGCGTGGCGTGTCCCAGAATGTTCTGGTTTGCTCTCTGTGGTTTTTAGCTTTGTTACTCTCCCCCCTCCCCCCCACCCCTGGCCCCTGCAAACGCTCCTGGAAAGCAGCCTGCGTTCTGTGCGAAGGCCTGTCTTCCCAGCCGCAGAGGGCCCTTGCGGGTCGGAGAGCTGGTTCTCCAGGGTTGCACGCAGGAGCTCCTCTTGGCCGGGGGTTTGTCTCAGGTGGCGATATCGGGCCGGGCTCTGAGCCTGTCACAGGCCCAGGACTCCCTGGAGGGGAACTGGAGTTTCCTGGGCTCGGGAATGTGAGCGAGGAAAAGCCAGAGCGTCCCCTTTCCCAGAAGGAGCCAGGCCGGGAGCAGGGAAGCACCCCTCCCCATCGCCATGCCGGCCGCACACCTGGGCCCTGGCCCGCCCAGCGGGGTTGCCTGCGGGAGTCTCCCAGGGCCCCGGGCGGCCCCTCCAGGGAGGAATGTGCGCCTCTGGCTGGGTGGGGCAGGTCCACTGGAAAGAAAGCGTCACTGGGTGGTGACCCTTGGCTTGTTCTTGTCGTCGGCCTGCTTGGAGTCACTTTTTCCACCATGAAGAATGTGGGGTCCAGGGTTTCTAGAACTCTCGGCCTCCTGCTTTCAGAGAACTCGTGTTCTCCCTCGTTGTGTGTTTTTGCTCTCCTCGCAAGGAGATTCCCCTACTCCCTCCCGCCTTGACTCCTTTTTAAAGGAAGGAGGAAGGCTACGGCTGACACGTGGATGGAATTTTTTGCAGATACCTTCCAGGGGATGAGTTAGAACTGGAAGGTTTGTTCGGGGAGACCCCGGCCTCCCCCCTTGTTTCTCCCCTTGAAATGTGTTCCCGGGCTCCGTGGAGGGGTACCGCAGTCTCCTGTTGCTTTTGAGTGACCTTTCCCGTATTCTTGATGGGACTCCGTTTGGCTGTTCACAGCTGGAGCCGAGGTTGCAGCGCAGGGGCTGCAGGAAGACCTGGGGGTGATTCGGGGTTGATTCCCTTAACATCTCTTCCTCCTCAGTGCACTGCAGTAGCAACACAATAACACACACAACGGGTAAAGGGGAAGGAAATCTGCGGCCCCATAGACCTGCCAGCCTTGTCCGTCCATGGGGCTTCCCAGGCAAGAATACTGGAGCGGGCTGCCATTACCTTTCTCCGGGATCTTCCTGACCCAGGGATCGAACCCGCATCTCCTGCGCTGGCAGGCAAGTGCTTTACCAGTCAGCTACCAGGGGAGCCTCAAGGAAATCCATACATTTGTGTTAATTATACAGGCGTTACCCCAAGGGATGTTGTGGGTATGGGTTCCAGACCACTGCAATAAAGGGATCATGGCAATGAAGCAAGTCGCCAGAACTTTCTTTTAGTTTTTCAGTATACATAAAAGTTATGTTTCCACTGTAGTCTGTTAAGTGTGCAATAGCATTATGTCTCGAAGCACTATATCAAAAATACTTTATTGCTGAAGAAGAGGTTAGCTATCATCTGATAATGCACAGTTACCACAAAACTTCAGTTTTTTAAAAACCTGGTATCTGTGAAGGGCAATAAAGCGAAGTGCAGTCAGAGGAGGTCTGCCTGTGTTTGGTGTATGATCTCTAAGTATGTCATGGTTAAGTGATTAGCCTTTTCTTTACATATGGTAAAGGTTACTCCGAGGTGCGCAGCCTTAGGGGCTTTGACAAGTGTGTAGCACCGTGTTTGCCCCACCATTGCCTACAGGGACTCGTTCAATCTCCTGAAACCTTCCCACCTGCTGACCCTTTGTGGTC